AAATAGCTATATCACGGTGCCTTGTCTGAGCCGGAATACCCCTTAATCACTTTTGTTCGCTTAACTAGAATTCCCACGACCCGACAAAAAATAATGCGGCCAGATATACATTTGGATAAGTTATGTAAACTCGTCCACTCTGGTTTCAACCCGGACTTACTGTCCAAACAGAATAAACACTGTTATAGTGTAATTCTACTCCGATCTGTTTCAGGATGTCCCCATCCTGCTTCATTGTCATGGTTGCGAGCTAATTGGAACCCCAATTGTATATGTTACTCCCTAACTATTAGTAACAATGGTATTATACCGACAAACAGAGACCACAGCCACGAAGCTTTTCTACCTTTTTGGGCTTCATCAGGTGGTGGTAGGTCAACTCCAGTGTAGCAGCGGAAATTGACGCTACGCTCGAGTTTCGAACTTGCGTCTCTCCGGCCAGAGCAAACGCTCTAATCCTTGAGCTACGGGTCCACCGTGTTGTCGGTTTTGTGAATTTTCCTATAATAATCTACAAACAGTTGATTATTTATGAACCCAAAACCATTAAAAACCGTTAATTTCCATCTTTGAAAAATAAGAAGCAACGTCAATTTGCCTGAACTCGAAACCTGTATTATTTTTTTCCGGAAGTGTAACGCTCATGTTGTTGGGTCCTGTCGGAGGGGGGATGAACGAGCCGACGATCCTGTGCAGACTTTCAAGAATCGTGAAAAGTTGTGTTAGGTTATGAAAAAGCATATCGCAAACACTACTAACTTGCACCCCCTTTTAATAACAAACATAGATCGGCATAAAAACTGACGTATCGAAAAAGCATTTGCAGTGTAACAGAGACATCAACGTTGTGTGGTATTTATGTAAATATTGATCTCAATCAACTGCAATTATCAAGTCGTCAAAGACCTTAAAATTAAGGAAAGGTCCAAAAGTCTTTTTGTCAGCTGCGACCGGGTAAATACGCAAAAGATGGTATCAATCGCGATTTCTAAACATGCCGTTAGGGTCACATATATTCGAGTCATTACTTTGTTGCTCAGGCCATTGTACGTTTAGCAACGTGTCTACTGAACAAAATTTCGATAAAACGTGGCGCTCTTTCCATTCTGTGGAAATAAGAGTTGTGGTTTGATGTCAGTAGACTTGGATTGACGGATCTTTGGATAGGTATACTAGAGGCCTCCTCAAAGAAGCTCAAATCTGCAATGAAATTATGAGATTTATTTGATGATTGTGAGCATCTTAAAATACCCTAATCCGGGAATGTCAAACCTTTCACGGCCAGTATATCACCTACTCTGTGGGACTGAGGAAGAGTGAGTTGCACCTCCGACAATTTTCTTGATTTATGTGCTTGCGGCTACAGCACGTAATAGAACTCGTTCTATCTGCCTGGGTACTCATACTCGCCCTATGACGATCGCGCATGCATCTCATTGTCCAGCGTAAACTAATGCCCCTTTAAACTTTATCATGATAGGTACGACTTCAATAAATTAGTTAGAAGCAGATCCTTCGCTTCTCTGTGTCGGAGGATGAATATATGCATACTCTGTTGTACTCTATATTTCATCAGAGCCTCAAAACTTCTAGAGTCAAAACTGAAGAAATTAAAAAGGACCTGTGCACGTAAAACATCGTTTTATTAAACGAACAATTGTGTCATAAAGGAGGCGATCAGGGTATTCAATCCCCAAAAAGTTGCTGAAATCAGTGGCGTTTGCAGCAAATACGCGAAATAGTGGAATTAAATAGTATAATTTTGCTGATTTTGTCCCAAATCTCTTCTCTTCAGTCCTGCTCTTCTTCCTTTTTGATCTTATGCATGTGTAATAATTTATTGTGCCCGTAACTTGCCTAATGCAACCAAGGATTTTTACTGACTAAAGTAACTATGTTTTTATGGTGTAGGCATGCTGCCCTACGTTGTGCCGATTAAACTCTTTGGACGTGGGGGCATGGTGATGACTTATATCCTTGTTGCCGTCCTGACCATTGTCTCGTGTGCACGCAGCGTCCTGGGTCTCGGCTCGTTAATTGTTTATGACGTCCTCGAGGTCTACTTAAAGGTGAGTTGGCTAAAATACTTGACTCAACCCGGCTTCCTCGTTTACATGGTAGATAAATTTCAATTTTGTGAACATTTGCTCTCATTTAATTCTAAATGTAACGTCTCTACTTAGCCAGAGGTGAATTCCCATCCTACTTTATAACTATCGACATAGCCCCATATTCCCTTATGGCTTAGATGTTACCTCTCTTCTGCAGTCTTCTAGTCATACATATTCTGTGACGATTTTAAGAGAACGCCTTTTATGTTCGATTGGATCCTCTCTATAGCATGACTATTTCCAAACCACTTTTATATGCGTGCTTATTACATCTAATAACTGAAAACCGCATTCTGCACTAAGTGTGAATAAAACGGGTTGCTAAGTCAAACGTTGTAGTTGCCATTCTCGGTAAGAGTTTAAAGACAGCCATGGAAAAAAATTACGTTTAACGCAAGCAGACTCTACCTCAAATCAGGTTTTTAAGATATTAATTGGCGCCTAAACGGACAGTTTAATTTGCCGGAACTGACAATGACCTATTGATGCTTTTGTGTAATAATACCTGCCATTGAATCAAAACCTATCCTAAACCCTCCAATTCCCGCAATTAAGGCGAGTTCGTATTATTTTCTGCTCTCCTTTTAAGCCCTTTAAGCGAAATTTGGGTCCCAATGTCTGCGTCTTTTGTGAAAAGCACAGGGGCTGCTTCTCTGACAGCAAAAGCTCCTGCCAGTGTTGCAGTATGCTTGAGTGCACGCAATGCAACAAAGATAATCAGTGAGTTGAAATTTAAATTGCCTTTTCCTCGAAGTCCTGTTCTCCAACAGAAAAATTGAGCAAAAAAGCCATCATTGCCACTGCCAACATAAATTAGGCACATCATAAAATAATGCCCTTCGAGGTCAACCTATTCTATAGAGTTAGAGTTTTACTTAGAAGATGTTCCTCTATGAATTTCCGATCTAAATCAATTTATTTTCAGTATTTCTTCCAATATGTCTTCTTGACAGTTTTATGCCATAAGTAGTGGGAGCGCTGATCAGGTAAGTAAACTTGGCATAATGAGTTGCCTATCTCACGAGATCTTGATCCATATTCTAAAATGGGTTTCAGATTTTAAAAAAAACAACTTCAGGAGTGTTGCTGTATTGACCAAAGTACATTGGCATTGTCTTTTCCTCTAAGCAGTGTTCCCCAACAGAAAATTGATAACAGTCAAAATTTCTTCATCACCAGCAGCGAAATAAATAAGCCACACGTTGAAAGCAATGTCCTTCCAGCTCAAAATTTCCTATTTTATAGAGCTAGATTATAGGTTTCTCTAGAAATTTCCAGTTTTAACCCATTTCCTTTCATTATTCACTACAATAAGTCTTTTTGGGCTGTTCGATGTCGTGTTCATTTTTAGAGGGCTAAGCAGGTAAGTAAGCTTGACATTATGAGACACAGTACAGTAACTATCTCATAAGAAATTCCAAAGTGGGTTTTAGATTTGAGTATATTACTTAGGCTCCGTTTACATATTGATTATCATAGAGCGTAAGTTTAAGAAATTACAGCCACTTGGGGGTGCCGGTTTTTTACCAGCTTCTCTTTGACCACCTCAAAAATATACTCTTTAAAAATGGTTACTTATAAAGTCAGCATTTTTTTATTGATTTTTCATGCGCTTATAATTTATATAATCTTTCTGCAAATATTGCCATGTTTCATTTAAAAAGTCGTTTTGGCAAACATATATTCACAACAACTCCTCATAAGTACAGCACATGTTGAGGGATAATGAAAATTTTACAGTTAGACAGGATTAATAGGTGTGCATTGATTGCAACTCATCATTTTCACGCCAATCGCATGGCGCGTTCCGCTTGTAGAGGTTCCTGTGCTGAAAAGATGGGAGGAGAGAGGAAATCGGGTTAGGTTGTGGGCATTTTTCAGGAGTCAGATATATGGAGCGGTAATTACTGCCATTTACACGGTGCAAAAGTTCTTTCACAAGAACGTGGGGACGATGTGCGATCGCCACCTGGCGTCGGGGTGGGCCACGGAAGTGAAAGTGCTTGTGTTATCGTTTTCTGACAATACAGCACTGGATTAGCTAGCCGTGTAATCACTGCCTCGGCTATTGGAAGCACCCGTTGGCGTAGGCCCCAAAAAAGTTAGCTCGTCTCCGGTAGACAACCTAAAAGCCCTTAATTAATATTCGCTCGATTATTAGTATCGACAAGGTGTTTGCGAGTAGAACTGGAGATTGATCTAATTTCACCAAGTTGGTATGTGCTTACGTACCTTCTTCAACAGGTGCCTCGTTGTTCGGCCAATG